TTTTGCAGGTTTTGGCCACAATGTCAACATAGCTGAACATATCCAAAACCACTGGAAATATTTGAGGGGGGCCTATCGCTTTTGCAGGTTTTAGCTCAATTCCAGAGATTCCTGACCACTCTTTACTAAAGTAGTCATTGCACGTTTTAGCAGTTCCTCATGTGTGTGTGTCACCCTTGGAATCATAGGGATGCTTTAAGTGCTTTTGCAGTTGTTCATTTTACAGCAGGGGGGCTGGTTGTTCATGCAAGTACCAGCCCAACGAAGAGGCTTGCATTGAACACTGATATCGGTGGGGACGCTCACCGACGTACCTGCAATTTTCCAACCTTTCCGTATGGCAAGAGGCTAAGCCAAGAACCTCACTGCAAAGCTTTGATGTTTTCTTTGAACTGCAGATGCGAACGGAACGTCGTCAGCCTGTTCGTCCGCCGCTCGCTTTCTTCCTTTTGGGCCCTACTTCCTCTTGCAGACCTCCAGGATCCCTTGGTTCGTACTTGTACTCTTAGGAAATGGAACCCTAGGCCGGCGTGTGGCACCGCTATCAAGTCAGTACGCATATCCATGAGTGTGTGTACCCTCCTCCTCCTCCTCCTCCTCATCATCATCATCATCATCATCACATTCCAGCACAGATAGATTAAAAACGGCTGCAAACCATCTTTCTTGTTCGGACAAATCCAACCCAAAAAAAACTGTCCCGAAAAGCACAAAACATGCTTGGACTAGTCACTGGGGCAACCAGCCGACAGTCTTGGGCGGAAAGAGCTCCACTGCCACCAGCTGTAGAGAAAGGGGTCTGAATTTCTGGCATGCCCTGCCCCCCCCCCCACACACAAGAAATTGCTAGTGGGTTGGAGACCATCGCTAGTAGGTTGGAGGCCATCGCTGGTAGATTCTCTTACTAATACCTTTAGAGAACTCTGAAATGTCCAAAGTATCAGAAACCGGGAACTCCTCGCAAGCCGGAACTCGGCCCAGAACCTAAGAATCCGAGGGATTACCCTTTCAGATACTTTGTTTGGAAATCCAGCTAACTGAAGCCCTAGGCTGCCGGGACATCCAGAATTGTCCTCATTTGGGGATTGTTGGGCTGAGGAAACACTTGCCATGTATTGGTTGGGAAGGCCTGGCAATTTGCTGCGGAGACGCTGACAGTTGAGCCGAGAGTGCCTGGCAGGGTTTAAACATTTGGCGAGGGCGTCTCGAATTCCCAAATCCTTGAGTCTAGCAAGGGGGAAGGAGAATTCAGCGTGCAGCTTCTGGTGTGACTTTTCACACCAAACAGGGCCTTTGGCACAGACCCCTTGTGAATGAGACTGCTGGAAGGGAGTGAGGATGTTTTGCAACACGATTGCCCGAAGCGTCCAGCCCAACTGTAATGCTCCTAGTAGCGTCCTTACTCCTAGTAGAAATGTCCGTTGTTCCTAGTAACTTCTTGTTCCTAGTAGTAAGGCCAGGAGCGCCCCTAGTAGCGTCCTTGCTTCTTACGCAAAATATCACCGGATTGCCCCACCACAAACAACTCAACGTCCTCACTCGGTGAATGGACTGCAAGAGTCTCCAAAAAGGTACTAGTAGTAACAGGTGCCTTACTAGTAGTAACAAGAAGCTAGTAGAATTAAACTAATACTAGTGTGAGGAAAACCTACACCAAGACTGTCAGCTGCTGTCAACTACTCCCCTCCAAACGCCCGCGAGCACAGGACAATGTTCAGTTGCAGATCTTGCCAATCGATGTTTGGTGGACGAAGCATGTGTTTTGTTTCCCACACATGGCCATCGCTCAATTCCCATCCCACGCCTCTAAAAGCTCTTCCAGGCTGGAATCCCCATCCTCAGCGAGCAATCGAAGGGAAGAAGCCGGTGAAATCGGGAAGCCGGGATGAAGCCACCAGACTCGACGGAATGCAAGACCTACAAATGGTCAAGCCCGGTCCGCCCAGGACTGGACGACAGCTTGTCACATGCACGGCGGGATTTTTGCCGAGGTGGGCCAACCAAGTGGCTTTTAGCCGCTCAGGACTGTGTACTTTCGGAGTTTGACACTTGCCAGAAGACGTGCAAATGCCCCAAAATCCTCTGTGGCCTTCTTACAACTATAGATACTAGATCGTTTCGGAATGCTTCGAGGGCTATGATCTTCATCTTTTCTCATCTATTGTCCATGGATCGACTGAACCAGCACAGTTCGATGACACGATAGAGTTAACCGTCTGAGGATCCCACTGGCCCATGGGCCCTGTGGGCCATGAAAGGCGGCGAAATGTCGAAATCGTCTCTCTGCGCAGAAAGGACGAAAGGAGTGATTCTCTTAGGACTTGGGCACTTGGGTTCCCTTTTTCAGCTAACAATTGCTCTCGCCCTCCGTGAATCACTTCGATCTAAATTCTGTCTTGTTGATGTCTTTTTGGTTGGGTGATCCTCGGCGGCCCTTTTTGAGCCAATGCGCAAAATGTGTGACTTCATGGATCTTCATGATCGTGTCACAAGCTACTTCCTGCATGTGGGCTGCTTGTGCAGGGAAGCGGGAAAAAGGACTGCATCCCCAACCTTCAAAAGCGCCAAGTTTTCGGTGCAGACCGGGCCAGCCAAACGTGGTCCAGTGCTTCTCCGCCTCACTGATGGACTTCCTCCGAAGAAAGTCAAGTATGGCAAAGGAACTGCCTCACTGCAAATACAACTTGGAACGGTCTACCGCAAGTCCAACAACCATCAGGGCTTGGTGGGCAACATGTCGATAACTTGAGACAGGGTGGATGAGAGGTAGGTAGGGGAGATGGGGAGGGCCTTTGCGTCGCAAACTAAGATAGGAATAGGCGGCTGGAGTCGTGTTTGGAGGGACAAAGGGGCAATGATCTTAGCTGGAGTGACCATGAGCAGGCCCGGAGCAGGCAAAGGGCCACCACCAATGGGATGAATGATTGGATGCCGGGCGGGCCCCAAGAAAGGTGAAGATTGGTGAAGAAGCTCGTCTTGAACTCGCAACCAGTGCACCTCACTGGAAATGTGGCGTCCAAAACAGTGAACCATTGAACCCTGGTCCAATCCCACCCTTCTACCCATCCCTTCCTTGACAAATCCTATATTGATACACATTCAGAGGTTCTGAGGAACTCACGATCTACCTAGGCCTTAGTTCTATTCATTGGACACAATAGATGATATTGCCCCATGCTTCAAGTTGCTAAACACATTCAGACCAGGAGCCTTTCAGTGACAATAATTTCAACTTTTGAAGGCAAGAACACATGGATCCAGGAAAGGTTTCTGCTCAGTTGTCCGTTGCTAAAATCCAAGTCTTACCTTTCAATTGGTCCTCTGAACACTGAAGGGACTGGGCTGGGCAAGAGCTGAGGCCCTTTCAACTTGAGTTTTCCGTCCAAGCAACAAGGTAACGCAGGCTTCGTCTTAGAACTCGCAGTGCGTCAGGCCCAGCATCGGCAGCAGCTTCATCAACGACTCCGAAATCCACTCCCTTCGAGGTGGACCCAGGAGGACGATCCAGAATTCACCCAGCTAACTCTTAACCACGAAACTCTTAGAACTCTTGGTAACAAACCGTGCGTGGTCACTCTGTTACTCAAATTCACCCGGCCTTTTGAGGAAAACAGGTGCAATGAAGGCGACGAAGGGCTCACCATCAACGCAATGAAGAGAAACTCCAGCTTGGAGCTTGGTGGTCTCCTTTTGAGAGAAGCTCCAAGCTCCTTCAGAATCTTCCCCGCGCACGACCACTCTCAGTCTTGCTGCCCTCTTCTCTGATTTCGAGCTTGTATTTGGGCCCTGCTTTCATCATACGCACATCTCATCAAAAAGAACTCAGTCCAGATCACATGTCCCAGAGGATTTGGGTCGAAGTCTGGCGAACTTCCGTGGAATCTCGGGCTCCCAGGCTTCGTCGACCCATCTTTTGGACGGAACTTCCAGGGAAATGAGCCATGCCTGGCGGCAAAGCTGATGATTTCCTTCCAGCCCATGTTGGGAAACATCTTTCGCAACATCTCTCACGAAGCTCAGGTCGCTCTCCACTTTGGCTGCCAATGATTTTCGGATGGTGAGGCAAAGTTCAGGCGGATGAGGCTTGACTTGATGATTTTCGGGATCAAACCCAATCAAGGCGGCTGCAGCTGTCCATCGTACTTGCCAGCAACGGTGGTACAAAAGATTGGCCACAGCCTTGGAGGAACAAGACGCAGAGGAAAAGAATCATTTGTCCCTCAGAACTTAGAAAGAAGTAAAAATGTGTCTTGAGGGCAGCATGCATGGTCGTTTGGGCAAATCTAGGTGAATCGCCATCGTCGCAAAATCTCCGAGCCACCTCCACTGCCTCACTGCCGTGCCGCGTCTGGAAGACAAAAGGCAAGGCCAGGATGGCAGCTTGTCTGGCTAACCTTGCCACTGAAGACAAGAAATGAATCGATAACATTTGGTCTCGTTTCACCTGAGTGCTCCCAGTTTCATGTCTACAAATGTGGACCAACGGACCTGAACATGTTTATCAATTCAATGTCACTGGTTCAACTTCCATGTCCAGGTGCTGATCATTCTTTAGCATCTGGAGCAAGTGCCGCAAAAACTCCTCAAAGGCCCCAGGCGTCATGTCCTCGGCTTCGCAATCCGATGCAACACCTCCACAGCTTCCTTTCCAATCGAAATGGCTATTGAAATGGAGAGACAAAAAGACTTCGGGTGAAAGCGAGCGGCTGAAGATTTCAGGAGCCTCGCCATGGCGATGATGCAGGATGCCCAGGCCACTCGCGCAGGGGTAAGGCCACTGGGCTGCAGCCTGGGCTGCAGGAGGCGGCTGGTGAAATCCATCAGCTCTGGGTTCACGCTCACCTGTCACAGCGTTCACCATGGATCCACCATGAGTCCACCGAAAATCCACCGTGTCCATCAAAAGTCTTTCAGCAAAGACATACATTCGTTGAGCAAAGTCATGTTTGACTCCCCGCAAGTCGCCCAGTGTGGTGTCTTCCAGTGAAGCTGCGTGACATCAAGGCCGGAAACCACAGCTGTAGCTTTCTGACTAGCCGGCCTGAGTCCTTTCGAGAAGGTGCAGGAAAGTGGCCAGGCACTCAAATCGCACTGAGATCCCATTTTCCTGACAGTCTGACATGTGTGAAAATCATTCTGTCTTGAACCCCACCACACTAAAGAACAGAAGGCATCACAAAAGCAAAGCTTTTCAAACTTGCGAATTCTTCTGAAAGTCCAGGAATTTGAGAAGCTCTGCCATTATGTGCATCATCTCCTCGACTGGCACATTGCTCTGAGACAGAATGTGGATCGCTGCTCGACCAACTTGTGGTCTCGGATTCGTCAAGGCCGGCAGCAAAAGAGCAAAGCCTTGCAAGAAAGGAAAAAAATATATCGTCTCCCTCCATTCTGTCGGCCTCCAACCTAAAAGCGATGGCCTCCAACCTAAGAGCGATGGCCTCCAACCGAATAGCATGGACAGGTGGAGAGGTTCTCTAAGGATTTTGCGAGTTGAGGGACAGTCGCATGGTGCACTAAGTGCTCTGCATCGAGCCCCCTGCCAACCGCTTGCCAACCGCTTGCCAACCGCTTGCCAACCGCTTGCCAA